AATCTGAGTCTCTAGCGGGCGACTAACCTCCACCGGAGTAAACAGATTGAGGCCCTAGCGAACCAAACCTCCACTACCGAATTAAATTCGGTACAGAATAGCGAATTGGCTCCTCGACTAAAGTCACCAATTCGCTACCTTCAATTAAGGATGCTCTATCAACCTAGGAGATATTCTCATTCTAGATCAAAGCAGAAACAACAAGAATTTGATCAGGATTCAAGTCATTCAATCATTCAAACCTCAATCGAATATAATCAATTCACAAACTCTGTACTTGGGTTCATACAATCGGACCTAGCATACAAATCTAGGGTTCCCCATACCCAGATGAATGGGGAAACTACTCCATAGAGAAAGAAGCAAAAGCGGATTCAGACACGGAAATCATACTGTGAAGATGGATTTCTGCTCCTGGACGTTTAATCGGCACTTCTCCAAGCTCAAGCCGGGCTCCAATGGTGATGAAGATCAAGCTATGGCACTTGGGAACTCTGGTTCGTCGCTTTCTCTCTCTAGGAATCGCTTTCTCTCTCAAAAACTCGGAACCCTTGAATGTTGGCCTTCTTCTTCCTTAAATTGCTGTCTGATCGCGATACCCGGTCGAAATACCCGGTCGGGTATTTTGGGTCTCGACCGGGTATTCTCAAAACGCGCCGCTTCATTGAGGGGAAAATCCCCGGTCATGACCAATAATCCCAAACCGGGGATTTAAGCCTCCTGCCCGGGCCCCCTTCTGTTTCTCACGGACGCCCAAAGTTGGAAATACCCGACTATGGCCAGAAAATACCCGGTCGGGTATTCCTGCCTTTGGCCGGGTATTTTGGCTCTCCAGCACACTCCAAGCCTTACTTGCTCCTTTCAACCCAAATCTCGTTCCTTTGCCTCGATTCCACCGCCAAGTCCTGAAATATGACACAAACGTACAACCTCGCGTGAAATCGGCTTAAAACACGAGAATCCACATCTCAAACTGCTCCAGAAAAGGGGTGAAAACACGTGTAATTATCGGTCTATCACTATTGCACCTTCTTAGGTGATTCACTTATCACTTGGAGAGCTAAGTAACAACAAACCGTGTCTAGATCCTCTTCTGAGGCTGAATACAGGTCTCTAGCAAAGCTCTCCTGTGAAATGGTATGGCTGAAGCAATTGCTATCTGAGATGGGAGTCAACTGCACTGAACCAGCAGCCCTGTTTTGTGACAACCAGTCTGCAATCCACATTGCACACAACCCTATTTTCCATGAGAGAACAAAGCATATAGAAGTGGATTTCCATTTGATTCGACAACACATTTTGCAGAAGATCGTCACGGTGACTCATGTCAGGTCTGAACTTCAATTGGCTGATCTCTTTACCAAAGCATTGAGTCGCCACAAACTGCACTTCCTTCTTCTCAAGCTAGGAGTTTCCAACATTTACACTCCTCAGCTTGAGGGGGGGGGGGTTCTGAAGGAAAGAAGAAGATGGATAGTGGGCCTCGCTGCTGAGTTACAAGCCCACACGAAGACAAAGAGGCGAAGCCCACTTCAGAGATCGACCTGGGTCTCTGCTGCTTGAAGAAGCACGTTCCGACGTCGTTTGCACAGCACGTTCCGACGTCGTTTGCACAGCACGACGTCGTCCCACTTCTCGCTTACATTAGCTCAATCGAGCTTAGCCACATGTGTCCTTTCCATTGGTTGTTTTCAATTGTTTGTTAATATTAGTTAGTTAATCACTGTTTAGTGACCGTTGTAAATGGTAGGGTTCCTAGTGTAGCGTATATATACTGCTTGTAAAGCTTCTCTTCAATTAAATGAAACAAAAGGTTTCACACAACCATATTTTCAACAACCAAAATATCAAATAAGAAGTTTATGCTTCTGCAAGCTGCTGCTACTATTCCTTCTACAAGTTGCTGTGCTACTCTGTTAGAAACCTATTGCTAGGGTTCTAACGATCGGGTTGATAAGATTGAGAATTGATAGATATTTAGGGATTGAGATAGAATTGGGGAAGAACAGAATTGGGGATTAGGGATTTAGAAGAGGAAATTGGGGATCGAGGAGAAGAATGGCCGACGGCCTAGGGATAGGTGACGAAATCGAGAGAGATTAGGGTTTTGGGGAGATGACTTTTCTTATTAATTTCTGCTTAATCTGACGAATGACCCAAAGTATATATATATAGGGAAATACTAGAAAACCCTAACAATAAACCTAATCCTACTAGAAAACTACTAACCATAATCAGAATTATCCTAATAATAAGCATAATAAATAATAGAGAAACCCTACAGAAATTGGTTTCTAACATCTCCTCCCCCTTCAGACCAACCTTGCCCTCAAGGTTGACCGACTTGATCCACTCTTCCTTCCTTCTCGCGCAATCTGCACGTTGACTCCTCCATTTCTTGCGCTTCCGTTTCTTCCAATCATGCTCTAACTTCGATATTGGGCTTCTCGCACCAACCCATTTTCCCCCAACCTTCAGCCCGCCAAGCTGCTCTTTTCGGCCCATAGAGAGCAAAACGGTATCTCCCTTCCTTCCTAGTCCATGACCAAAAATGTTGACTTCTTTCTCCAGCACACAGTCCACTCTCCTTGGCCCAACAAGGCCCTCAGCTCCATCCGAGCCCGCGGCCCAAACGACCTGTGCGGCCAACCTAGGTTTTGCGAGAGGAAGGAAGCCGCCGCCAACTCCCTCCTTCGTCTTCCTCTTCCCCGGCGCGCCGCCATTCCACCGATGGCCAGGTGGCCGATCCGACTCCGACGGCGCCTTTAGCTCCGTCATCTTCTTCGGCGATGGTCCGACATCAGACGGCATCTTCTCCTAGCCGTTTGAAGCGAGACCCAACGCCGCCGGCAGCTTCATGTCCATCCTCGTTACGTCGGTTCCCAGCTCTGCCTTCATAGCCTTCGCCGCCTCGACTTGAACTGCAGGCGACCGCGGCGCCCATTCTCCCTTCGTGGTCGGCGCCCGGATCCCCCAGGTGGGTTCCTGAATAGCACGAGAAGAGGCGATGTCGCCGCCTTTCTCCTTCATCGCCGGTTCTGTGTCGCTCCCTCCGACAATGACTTCCACCGCTTTGTCGACCTCGGCGGACGTTGGTGGTCGCTCGCCGTCGACGATTCGGGTCACCGTCTCTGCTTGCACGGTCGGCGACTCTTCGGAGCTCCAACGGCGTCCGATGCGGCGAGCCCGGTCCCGCAGCTCTGCCCACGATAGGTTCGAGAGGTCTGAAGAGCTCCTCGTCGAACCAGTTGTAGAAATCATCCCCGGTTGAGAGTTGTGGTCAACTCAATTCTCGAACCGGGCTCTGATACCAAATGTTAGAAACCTATTGCTAGGGTTCTAACGATCGGGTTGATAAGATTGAGAATTGATAGATATTTAGGGATTGAGATAGAATTGGGGAAGAACAGAATTGGGGATTAGGGATTTAGAAGAGGAAATTGGGGATCGAGGAGAAGAATGGCCGACGGCCTAGGGATAGGTGACGAAATTGAGAGAGATTAGGGTTTTGGGGAGATGACTTTTCTTATTAATTTCTGCTTAATCTGACGAATGACCCAAAGTACATATATATAGGGAAATACTAGAAAACCCTAACAATAAACCTAATCCTACTAGAAAACTACTAACCATAATCAGAATTATCCTAATAATAATCATAATAAATAATAGAGAAACCCTACAGAAATTGGTTTCTAACATACTCATCCTTCTACAAGTTGCTGGAGTGCTGGAACTGGTCGCCTTCTTCTGCAGGCTGCCCACTGCTGCAGTTGTGCCTTCTGCCGCAGGTTGCTGCCGTGTGCTGCATTGATGCCATGGATGTTGAAACAATCAATTAATTCCAGAGTTGCCATCCAGAATCTGTAAGCAGAAAAGAAAAGAGAATGCCAGCTGAGGGATTAAAAGCAACCAAAGAGGGATTATCCAAAATTGCATACAAAATCAGAAATTTGACACCATCTGTATACCACCGCCTCCACTGATCTTGTTTCAGTGATTCTCATACCCCGCCTTCCCACATTCCAGCAAAAGTGGGAAGTTAAAGCAACCACACAACTAGCATAAAGGGTGGAAGACGAAAAGAAAGAAGGCCTGATATATCATCCATAAAGACATTCTGTACAACCACATTCACATACTGGGGTGTAAGTTTATGGACACGATGACCCAAGAATGAGCACAGAACCTCAAACCTTAAGCAGAGCTGTCCCCGGGTGAGTCCTTGAGCAGAGCTGCCGCCGGGTGAGTGCTGCTTGACGTACGCGGACTCGCGGTGCTCCTGGATGGCTGCTGCTGGTCTGCTATTGAATGGATAGGAGGCGGCGCAACAGAGTGAGAAGAAGGAAGTCGCGGCGAGCAGCGGTGAATGAAGGAGGAAGCGGAAGCGCGGAGGCGGAGCTAGCCGCTAGGTCTCGCGGTCGCTGAGTCTCACTGTCTGAGACTGAAAGTGAAAGGGAATTCAGAATTGAAAGGGTAACTACTAAATGGGTAAGGGCCGAAATGGCCAAGGCCTGAATTAGTGAATTGGGCTGGGCTGTGGGCTGAAATGAATTCTACCTTTTGATTGGGTATAACGGGTACCCACATTACCCAAATGGGTATTTGCGGGTAACCCGCGGGTACCCTTATTAGGAATGTACAACCCCAAGTCCCATCCGTTTATAATATTATGGGTAATATGGGTACCCGTAACCCTTAAAAAACGGGACGGGTACGGGTATACCCAAATACACGTTTCCCGTTGCCCACCCCTGCAACAACACATAGTAGTTTCTGAGGAATCAAAATTTCCAACAACAAAATCCGATCCAACAGAGTTGGACAGCCGGCCTCTAGTAATAAATAACATAACAACGGAATTTCGATCTGGTGTTTGCCGGCCAAGGGCGGCGGAGGGGAGTTTGAAATAATTTACCTAGAGAGATGAGGAGGTTGTTGAGGATGCGAGAGAAGCCGAAGCATATCCGAGGATACGTCCGGATAGTATGGACGACCATCTAACGGAGCAAATCCTCGACCGTCTCCATGAACAAGTTGAGGGAGTGGGTCAACGTGATGTAGAGCGTCAACGACACGACCGAGAACGCCACCTCAAAGAAGAGCTGCAACATTCGAGTTTAGCGCGAATCCGACTAGCAACCGCCGACATCATCCTTAAGTCCACCACCACCACTTCTTTCCTAGCCCGAGCCAGATTAAATGTCAGGTCTACAACCATCATCGACCTGCTCTGTAGCCATCTCAACCTAATTTCATAGGCGCTCTCGGCAATCAACAACAATGACAAATTGGGCGTCGACGCAAGAACCCTCCTCGCGAGATGATGAAGAAGACGACTGGATCTAGCTTCCTCCCCGCAAGAACCCTACAGTTTTTGGAATAAAAGTCATGTTTCATTGCACATGGGATCTTAGTTATGCTTTGTCAGTTAGAGTCACTTGTTGGAGTCGAATCTATTCTGCGTTAGTGGAGTTAGCTGGTTAGAGCAGTTAGTTGTGGGTGCTGAAAACAGGGGTAATAAGGCTGGTAGCTGTTAGTGGGATCCAAAAAACTAGGAGTAGTCGAGTAGGGACTTTGTATTTAATCTGTTCTTTGTTCTTTCAATAAGATTTGTCAGTTTGCAGCAAATGGATTCTACATTGTGGTAACAGAGCCTAAGCAAACTGTAACCAGTGAGTTTGGATGACCGAGGGAATTCATTTCAGAGTGCTAATCTTTGGGGTTGGGAAACACGAGCAGTTGGTGAGGATTGTCTCTTTGGTTGGTGAGTGAAACACGAGAGGCTGTGAGGAAATCCAATTGCTGAGTGTTGTAGAGCTGTGAAAGCTTAACTGTGATTATGGGAGTGTCCAGTGGCTTTGCTCAGGTGTGTATCCCTAAGTTTGATGGTGATTATGATCATTTGAGCCTATTGATGGAAAATCTACTCCGTTCCGAAGAGTATTGGAGCTTAGTATGTGATGGAATCACGGAACCAGCAGCAAGCGTGGAGCTTTCTGAAGCTCGGTCCAAAACTCTAGAGGAATTGAAATTAAAGGATTTCAAGGCTAAAAATTATTTGTTCTATAGCATTGACAAGTCCATTTTGAAGACGATTACTCACAAAGCAACAACAAAAGAACTGTGGGACTCCATGAAGGTGAAATTTCGAGGAAGCCCTGAGTTCAACGTGCTCGTTTGCAATCTCTTAGAAGGGATTTTGAAGTTCTAGAGATGAAAGATGGAGAAAAGGTTAATGATTATTTTGGAAGGGTGATGGTGGTTTCCAATGTTATGATAAACTGTGGAGAACATATGACAGTTTTCAAGATAGTTGAGAAGATTCTTAGAACCCTAACTGCAAGATTCAACTACGTTGTTTGTTCCATATAGGAGACTAAGGTTGACGCTTTGTCAATTGATAGTCTTCAAAGTTCTCTTCAAGTACATGAGCAGAAGTTCCGCATAAGACTTGCTGAGAATGAACAGGCGCTGAAAGTTGGTTATAATGGATGCATCGACATAGGTAGCAACAGTGCTCAAAGAATAGGAAGGGGCAGGAATGGTCGTTGGGCTAGGGACACTGTGAAATGCTACAAATGCCGAAAAATTGGGACACTTCAGGAATGAGTGTCCAAATTGGAAGCTACATTCTCATTACTCCACCACTAATCATGGCGACATGATAGAAGACATGCTGCTAACGGCTGGCGTGGAATCAATGGAAGAGAAGGAGGAACCGACTACATTAATGGCTTCTCAAGAGCTGGTCAAGATGCAACAGGAAGGTAGGGTACAAGGGTTGCAGCCAATTGCTTCAGCAGAATTTAAAGCATTTGAGGTAAGCATTCCTAGTACCAAGAATGTGTTAATAAACAGTAACGAGGTAGTTAATGGGATGCAAAATTCTTACTGGGATCCGTAATTCATTCCTATAGTGACTGAAATGGTGTGGGAAGATTGTGAAGATGAAGTAAGTGAGTCAAGTGGAGAAGCTAAAGTAGCAGTTAAGGTAGAAAGTCCAGAAGTTACTATATCAATTGAACCACCTTCACTTGTGATCTTAGATCTTTTGGCAAATACTTGGAGATGGTGTGGTCTGCACACTTTGAGTACTGTTTTTGAATTAGAGGATCAATGTTTTGGGAAAGTTACAAAGGATGATAAAGGGGGATAGACTGAGATATTTGTGCTGCAATTTGGTGGGAAAGTTACTAAGTGGAAGCTCATTCACCCTCCTTTAGGAGCTAAAGGGATAGGGGTCATGGAAGGAACTCAAGTACAAAATCTTGCTATTGAGGTTAAGGTGGGGCATATGGATCTTTGGCTGTTAAAATCTGATTAGTTGGGGCATGATCGACAAATGGAAATGAAGATAAAAGATTTGGTAAAGTTTTTTGAAACCAATTCCAGAAACAAACTCACAAGCAGAAATCCCACAAATAGCAGCAATGATAACGGTAGGAGACTATGTTGGTACTGCTACTACATCTGAACCTACTGCCATGTCAGTAGTAGACAACTGCACACAACCTCTTGTGATATCAACAAGTCACATGCAGTGGAAAGAAGAGACTGAATTTGTTGAGGATTTGGGTTCCATAATTAAAATAAAACCTGCTTACCTTGATATACATGCTAATGGTATGTTTCTAGATGTTGATAGTCATCAAAGTTGTGCAAAAGAAATGAAATTGCAACCACAAGGGTTTGTGGTTTCAGGGGAGGAAAAGAAGCATGCAGAGGAGTTGATTGAGTGTTCTTACAACAAGTTTGAAGATACGATCCAAGTGAATGCTACTAAATTCAGAGAGATGTTTATTGCACTTGTTGCTGCTGATTTTGAAGCATGTTTAATAACCTTGGCGACTGGATTGTTGCATGTCTCAAGAGTGAAAAAGTTGCTAACTACCGGTGGTTTGATCAAGTTTGTAATGGCGAGTGGTTTGATCACTTTAAAAGTTGGTTTGTAGCTAACTTTGGAAGTTTTGCAGTTGTTAGTCATTTGTTTCAAATGACAGGTTCAGGAAGGATGGATACTTGGTACTTGAAGTGCATCATTGATTGTGGAATCATTCACATGTGGGAGGCTCAGGAAATGTGTTGGGGTTATACTACTAATCATTATGCATATTGCACTTGGTTTAGAAGGATCCATGAAACAATAAGAAGGCATAAGAGAGTCAAAGTTGGAACAAGGATACTATGTAACTATAGCTCGAAAGTGTTCAAGAATGTCAGCTCTCATAAAAGAAGCACACTTAGACACAGGTTCAAATGACTGGCTAGGGTCTTGGACATGGGGAAAAGGCCTTTTAGGTGGTGGAAGTATTCATAGCAAAAGGTTCCACATTTTCCAAACACACAAACACAGTCAAACAACCCGGTATTTCCTTTCTGCTATTCTGCCTTACTCAATATCTTAAGAGCACAAGAGCGAAGGAGGCATAAACATCAGCATTTCCAAGCCAGACTGCTAAGAAACACTACTTACTGGGCATTATTCAGATTTTTGGTAGTGGCTCTCTTTTCCTTTCAATTTCTCTTTGTTTTTCTTTTATTTTTCTTTTCATTTCTTAAGAGAGCCACCACTTCTGCATATTTCAAATACCTGCCCAACTTTTAAGCACTACCTCCAACACTCACATAGACTGTAGCAGAAACAGCAGAGAATATGTAAAAACCACTCTGTGGAACCTTCTAAAAGAAGCAACAAGGGTGATTTTTTTTCATTATAGACCAAAAGAAAGGATAACACACGGCTCAAAGGGGCTGACTAGGGGATATGACACATCAGGACAGTCAGTTTTGGGCGTGGGCTAATCCTATGCCCCCATCATCTTAGCTAGTGACAACGTGAATGCTACACATCATGGAAGAGGGATCTATCGCACAAGAAAGAAACGAGCAGGCTCAAATCTCACATGGCTACCTATATGCTCTATCTCACATTCTGATACCCTGAACTAGATGCATAAACGACTGTCAAGAACAAGTAATCAGATCAAGTCAGATCAAGTCACAGTTGGCAAGCAAACAGTTGAAAAACTGAACCCCTACATCGTTCTACTGCACATCTCAGTCCTCATCATAGGTTGTCCTAGTCGCAAACAAGTTGTCATGCATTAATCCGAAAACCAATCAATTCATCCATCAAAACACAGTGCCAATATGATCAACCAACAGTACTTGGAGCCCTCAAATCGTAAGATTCGGACAGTGGACTAGGCTCCAAGCACCATCAAAAATATTCCAACCGATACAAAACATCCCCCCACACTTAAGCACGACATTGCCCTCAATGGAGTAGAGGGAAAGATAAGGGGAACGATGTTACCGGGTAAGAACACTGCTGGGGGACTGGAAGTGGACCAGTGAGCGAGAAACGAACGGGGGAGTGTTCAATACTGCACAAATCGAACATCAGAAACACTAGCACACTGGCGTTAGGGATAAGTGTTAGCCCAGACGGCTACATCAAACCACAAAGGAGAAACCAAAAACAAAAACAAACGACAAAAAGTTCAAGCTCCGCACTCATGGAGCAAACACTCAAAAGTCCAAAAAAAAAACAAACAAAAACAAACACAACGAGACGGGCAACGAGTACAGCCTACTCGTCGCCAAGATCGTCGAGATCGATGTCGTTCATGAACGCATCATCATCAGCAGTGCCAGCCGCACCGTCATGTGGAGGGGAGTCATCCCAGGGAGTCCTCCAGACAGGTGGATCGCCCGGAACCAACTGAAGCAGGTGCTGCTGAACCTCCTGCATGCGCCGGGAGCGGCGCTTCTCCCGCTCGATATGGGCGAGAGTCACGCCCTGCTGAGCCTGGATCGTGTCCAGCCTGTGCCGGTACTCGGCCTGATCTGCCGCGTACTGCTGCTGGAACTGCATCTGCTGGTCAAGGAGCAGCTGGTTCTGGATCCTCAGCTGCTCGAACTGCTGGGTGAAGTAGTCCTGGCCCGGGAAAGTGGAGCTGCTACCCCCAAAATGGAAGTCAGTCTGTGGGGGATCATCAGCAGCATCCGCAGCAGCATCCACAGCAACATCCACCTCATCGGGGTCCACCTCATCGTCAGCCTCCTCCTCGGGCTCCGCGGGGATAGGAGGCTCCGGAAATCCCTCGAC